GGACTGAAACGGATGAATTTAAAAGTAGCACTATTGAGTGTGTGACTAGCTACTGGAGTACAACGTAAACAAGTTTGTTTGTTTGTTTATTCATCGGCGGGCGGCTCCCATGTGATGCTGACTCACAACCTCTCTCTCTCCCCTTACCCATTCCAATAGTCTAAGACAACTTGCGGGCCGGCCTCTTAAATTTCGACTAACCAAACATGTCGGCCTTCATATAAATCACCACTCCCGTCCCGCCGCCCAAACGTTAAAAGAACATGAAGAACTTAGCATTCAACATCACCGAGACTCCCTTAGCATTAAATTATATTAGGAGGTGCATGGATTTCAAATTAAGCTTTGTTTTGAATGTAAAGAATTTGATTCAAATCCAAATTTAAAATGCTTAAGTTTTCCAAACATGGAATTTAAGCCAAATCCGGATTTGAAATCCAAATCCATGTTCCCAAACATACCATTAATAAGTTTTTACTGTTATTTCTAAACCTGGCAAAATATAACTGGAATCGATTATTTGAACCGAAATATCCGAAATCAAAATGATTCGAAAAATGATCTGATCTATAACCAAAAACCCAAAATGATCCGAATCGAAGCGAAACCGAACAAAATAATTCATATCCAATTGAAATCTGAAACCGATTAGATCCGAAACTGATAATATCCAAACCGATTAAACCCGAAATTGATAATACCCGAAACTGATTAGATCCAAAACTGATAATATCCGAGCCTGATTAGAACGAAAACCGATAAATTTGGAATCTTGTTTTCCTTTCAATAAACATATTATATTTTTAAATTTTTACTTTTATTTTACCATTTGGACTAACTACATTACTTGCTCATTCCCTCATAAAATTGATTGTCATCTTGAAAAATGTACAAAATTTCATGCCTTAAATTTATTATATTTAGAAATTGAAGATAAGTTATACATATAAAATTTTGGATGAATGAAGTGAGCCAACTATTTTGTTATTAACAAAATTAAAGAGAATAAAATATTTGAAAAACAAGGTGAAGCATCAATTGAAAAAAATTAGGTCTAAGAGTTGAAGGTGAATGAAAATTGAGAAATGAGATGAATAGGAACATAAAAAAATTGATAAGATTAAGCAGGGAAAGTGAAAAGGAATGGGGGAAATTTTGAGCATAAGAAAATTGATAAAAAAAAAATTAAGTCTCTAATTAGTTATTATATGAAAAATATAGTACTAATTTCAGTCTTAAGTTACATAATCTAATTAAAACAATCTTATTTCGAAGAAAAAACTTTCTTCATCATAGAAAGAATGCTACATAACGCAAAACAAAGCAAAAATTTTATGTTTTTAAAAATAATTTTATTTAAAGATTGGTATATAAATAAAAAATGTCTACATATTTAAAAAAACACGTCCAAAATTTTACAAAATAAGATGTTACAAGAATAATAGTTTATTTTATCAAATAATAAATAATAACGCAGAAACAAATAAAATTTTCGTAATTTTTAAATAGTGAAGTGTGATATTCTTTTTGGGACGAAAGGATTATATGATGAATTGTATGGAATAACTAGATTTTATCCTAATTTTCATCCAATTACAATAAATTTTATTGGTTTGAGAGTTAATTTGATTCGTTTCAAACCAATTCACTCAATATTAGTCAATAACATCAGATGTTAATGTTAGCATTTTGAAAAGACTCTCTAGCGGCAACATTTAGTGTTATCATTTTTCAAATTTGATCTACATCATTACATTTAGGTGTAAAATTAATTATATTTGACTCTATTAAATTTAATTTATCTAATTTCAACCAAATGCACTCAAATAATTTATAAATTTTGCACTCAATTGAATAAAATTCACTTAATTTCATCCAATTTTACTCAATTTTTACCAAATTGTATTCAAATGGAAGATAACACTATTTGAATTTATCTTTTATATTTTCATTTATAAACATAAATACATTAGTAGATGTGAGAAAAGTTTGATATATCAAAACAAAATTTGAAACTCAATTTAATTATATTAAATTTATATCTTAATTAAATATATATTTTTTCATAATTTGTAGTCCAAATTTGTAAAATATGACTAAAAATTCAAAAAGGGAAGATTATTTAGTATAGAGATAATATAATTAGAAAAAAATATAAAATAATATGAGGTATTGTATTGATGATAGATTGGTAAATGTGATAAAACATAAAAAGAAACATGGATAATTAAGTTTTAATTAGAAAATAATATATATCCAAAATATATTTGATCCGAAACCGAAATATATCCGAACCAAACTAGATCCGAAACCAAAGTATATTCGATTGAAATTGTATCCGAACCGTATCTGAACCGACTCGAAATCGAACCGAACCAAAAAATGTATAGAACCGAATCAAATCCGAACCGAAATTAAACCGATCCGAACCGAACCAATTATAACATATGTCTAAAAGATATCCGAACTGAAAAAATCCAACCCAAAACTGATCTGGTTGACCCGATTACTACCTCTACTTTTTCCACCTCAATTCTTTATAAACTGTGAATTTTATCTACCAATTTTCAAAATCACTCTGATACATAATACATGCAAAAATACACTTATACACACACATATATTTTTAAAATTTAGGTGGACGGAGAACAACGAACAGAGTATCGGCTAAAATTAATCAGTCGCATAAAAATGAAATACATTATCTCATCCATAAGTTTAAGCTGATAAGTAGGGTTACATCCTTCTATATACACTAGTGTATTCTTTTTTATTTTTTGATGTGGGAACTCCAACACTTGCTCTCAAGTGGTAACTAGTCTTGTCTAGTTAGCACTTGGATAGATAGGTCTAACTTCTCAATCTCTCATAGCAACCTCAACCCAAACCACGGACGGGTAACTCATATACATAAACCTGTGTCCAAACAATCAACTAGGAAATCAAACGTGAATCAGACGAGTACCATGTTAAAGGCCTTGTTTGGATGTTGGCTGTCAGTTGTTGGCTGTTGGCAGTTTGTGCCAGCTGTTGTGAATGACTGTTTAGTTTAGCTGGTTTGACTGACAGAATGAATTGGCTAATCGTTAAAAATGTTTGGTAAAATTAGCTGTTTGAAAATAGTTTTTCACACACACACACACACACGATATTTATTTTTCATTTTTTTACATGTAAAAATTAAATCTTTACCATATGGAGTATTAAATTTTAATTTCATTTAATCCATAATAAATAATTAATATAAATTTTTTTAATGATTTTTTCTTTTTATTTTCTCATTTCATTTTTTGAAATTTTTAAATTTTAAATTTTATTTTTTTTAGTATTTAATTTTTTTAACTTTTATTTTTATTTTTATTTTTTACATATATTATAAAATATCTTTCAACAAAAATGATTTTAAAAAAAATATTTTTCCTAACCGCCAAGTCCATATGCTACTCCCATTGACATTTCAGATTTTGGCTTTTTGGATCAAAATGCCAAGTGAAAAAACCATTAGCCAAACAATGGTTTTGGCGGTTCGCTTGGTCAAAAAAGCCAAAGTCCGTCAAAGATACCAAAAGCTATCTGAAATGCTGTTTTTCAAACATGGCCAAAATTTAGGTGGGCCGAGAAGAACGGGTAGAGTGTTAGGTAAAATTAATCACTTGCGTATATAGTAAGGATCCACTATCTAACATAAAATTTTAAGCTGATAGGTAGAACTTCACCTTTCTATATATATGCTAATGGTATTCTTCTTTATTTTCTGATGTGTGAATCTAACATTGTTAGAGTATATATAAAAATCTTTCCAGTGCCACAACCACAAGCTCTAACTTTTGGTTGAGTTGGTTCCTTGACATGGTATCAGTTTCTTGTTAACAAAAATGTCAGGAGTTCAAAACTCACTGGCACTCAATTTCGAAAAAATTTAAGGTTTCACGTGCAATTAAGGGTGTGCATCTGTCCGAACCCGGACCGAACCAAATCGGACCGGGACCGAATAAGATACTTTTCTTGGAACAGGGACTGACTCGAATAAGATAAGGATAAGCCTATGACGGAACCGTGAAACCCAGACCAAATCGAATTAGACTATTTTTTATTTTTTAAATCAATATTATCTATTTAATTTAAGGTGTCCATGTGTAAAAAAAAGTATTTCTATTACTAATTTGTAATGCGTAATACACACTAAATATTGTCAATCACCATTATCTAAAAATTAATTTTTTTAACAGAGTATCAATACTACAATAAAAACTTGCATGTCGTTTAAGATATAAATTAAAAAGTCAACAATAATACTACCGGATTTCTTCGAACAACACTGAGGACGAAGATATTTGAGAGACTACTGTGAATCACAACCTGACACCCAAATCTTGCATATATTTTATTATAAGTAAAAATAATAAAAAGAAATCATTTTAAAAAGGGTGTAAAAAGAGTTTAAAAAGTTCTTTCATTCTTCCCACAAAAAATTCATTTTTGTGATAGAAAACAAAAATGTAACATTCTATTAGTCTTAAAAATATTGTAACATAATTTGTAAGAAAAAACTTATTAGAATTTATATTTTTAAATTGACTATTAAAAAAAAGTTGTGATAAAAAATTATGCATAACATTGAATTAGTCTTAAAGTTATTGTAACATGAGAAAAATATAAGAAAAGACATCAAAATTGATAGTATATTATTATATTGAAAAAAAGTTATAAAAAATAAAATTTGATCGGTCAGCCGGTCCATAATGTTCTATACCCGTACCCATTTAAAAAAATTGATCCTAACCCGTACCCGTTTATCCGATGGTTCTTGAAGTTTAATCCTAGATTTGGATCCATTGGGTCTCGGTATTGAGTCAGGTATACTCATGATAAAAGTTGACATCTTTTATTTTTCTATAATTGAAAAAAAATTGGTGAAAATACTATGAAAGAAAAACATCTTAAATGACTACAAATAAAAATAAAACTAATATGTTACTGCAACATAAATGAGTCTTCTTTACCAAAGATCTGTAACAAGATCTTAGATTTATAATCAGCCTTCTTGTCACATTCATTCATGTTACAAGAATGTTCTTTATGACATTACAGCTAATTCTAAACTATTTATTTCATACTAATTCATAAAGCAATGTCTACATGCCTTCTAATGTGATGAAATAAATTGAAATAGATTTGAAAGCCACGCAACGAGCAAAAAAGTAGAGAGTAGCGAAGAAGGTGGTATATATGGTTTTTTAATATTTAAAGAAATCGACCTAGAGTGCTACCAGTTTTAATTTTTTATTACTGAATTGCCCTGTGTTGCGTGTCTTGGGAGTTCTATGGTGACACTGCTTAATTGTGATCCACCGAAGTAAGGCTGAAGTGCAAGAACATCGCCATCACCATCATCATCCTCTTCCGATTCGTCCGGCCATATTAAACAAAATGGAATTCATCGGCAGTGATGTCGGAGACTGGTGGACGACAGCAGCGACGGGAATGCAAGGGACTGAGGCGGCGAGGCTACATTTCAGGTCAAATTTCCCCTTACTTTCTACTTTTCTCCAAATCTAGTTTTGATTTCTTCAAATTTGATTTGAAATTAATTCAAAATCAGGTTTTCATTTCATCTAATAATTTAATTTGGAATTTATTGGAAATTAGGTGTTGGGTGGCAGAGCAATATTTTTGAATCCGAAGTTCGTGTGGCGAAGCATCTTTTTTTTTGAGGAAGTTTGCATCTGTGCCGGTCGGTGCTACGGCGGAGAAATATTATTGGACTAGCATATTGGATATGTTTGGGCACAACAGACTACTGCTTAAAAATTAGTTGGCAGTGTGGTGGTGGAGATGGCGCGCAGTGTGGCGGCGATGATAGTTGTAGTGCGGTGGCACAGTTGGCATTGTGGCAGTTGTGGTGGTGTCTATGTGACGGCAGTCGTGGTGGCAATGTGTCGGTGGATCGGAGTTTGAAATATGCAGGCGGTAACATATAGTTTGGTTGCTGAGCTAGCAGTGTGGTAGCGGAGTTTACATTGAAGCGGAGGCGGCAATGGCAGTGTGGCGGCGGAGGGCGGTAGTGTATCAGCAAAGTGAGCAGTGTGGCAATAGGGATGCCAAGGTAGCTCATCCTGTGTCAAAAAACTTTAACTATATTTTCTTTTTGGATGTCACAAATAACAATTCTCACTTTATTTATTTTCTTAATGAAGAGTAATTGATATCTATACTATACTTAAAGCGAGGGGAATTTTTTCCCGCCCATACGTGATGCTAATATATGGAAACTGTTTAGTACTTTAATTATCTTGCCTCAGTACATGTGAAGCATATATGAATACTATTGAATGTTATACATGTGAAGCATATATGAATACTATTGAATGCTATGTTTCGTGTGACTCCTTACATGGTAAGTATTACTTGCCATTTTTGGTTTAATTTCTATTAATTACTAATTAATATGTTTCCATTTTAATTTAATCAATGGTAAGTGTTGCAGTGCCATTCTTGGTTTCTATTTAAAAAATTAACAATAATAATTGCTAACCTAAGCAAACAATTTTATAATAATAAAAATATTATTATTATTATTATTATTATTATTATTATTATATAATAAATTTTCAAAATATTGTAAACTAAAAGGAATTGATTAGTTATACCTACAAAGTAATATGTCCTCTAATCTATACTATACTTAAAGCGAGGGGAATTTTTTCCTACCCATACGTGATGCTAATATATGGAAACTGTTTAGTACTTTAATTATCTTGCCTCAATACATGTGAAGCATATATGGATACTATTGAATGCTATGTTTCGTGTGACTCCTTACATGGTAAGTATTACTTGCCATTTTTGGTTTAATTTCTATTAATTACTAATTAATATGTTTCCATTTTAATTTAATCAATGGTAAGTGTTGCAGTGCCATTTTTGGTTTCTATATAAAAAATTAACAATAATAATTGCTAACCTAAGCAAACAATTTTATAATAATAAAAATATTATTATTATTATTATTATTATTATTATTATTATTATTATTATATAATAAATTTTCAAAATATTGTAAACTAAAAGGAATTGATTAGTTATACCTACAAAGTAATATGTCCTCTAATTTTGTAAACTAAATTTCCGTGAACCTAACTACACAGTTAAATACGATGATATTTATTTAAAAAACAATTGTTTCCTTTTCAGTTTTTTTGTATAAATAATGACAAATGTCGTGTTGAGAATAACATATCCTCTTATCGACATTATATTATATTATTTACGCTCTTTAATACAAAACGAGTCGCATATGTGATAATCATGGGTGGGTGGAGGAGATGCAATATTAACAAGCTGTAGAGGTTTTAATATCAAAAGGTTTAACAAGCTGTATAGGTCTGCAAGACAGGTTGAGCAAATATATAGACATAGATACAACCTGTTCACTATGTAGCAGTGCAGAAGAAAGTCATAACCACATGTTTTGTAATTGCCCCGTTACTACTAAACTAATGGGGAGACTCTCTGAAGGGACTGAGAGCAAAATTAGTGGGAATTTTAGAGAGTTTTAATTTGAGCTCCTATTTTGAGGAGTTATGTTTTAATTTTATTTAGATAGTTTTCTTATTTAATTACTCTTATTTAAGGAAGTTTAAATTTGAACTCTTATTATAAGGATAAGATATATGTTTTACTCCTATTTAAGGGGTTTTCTTTTAAAGTATCGAAATTAAAATTACAGTTGTGTTTGCATTTATACTTTTTCGTTATTTTAAATAAAGTGATTTCTTTATGCACGACTTTGGTAAGAATGAATCATAAATACACATTGATAATTAAAAATTTAAGGTAACTTCAACAAATAGTTATCTTTCCTTTTTTTACTTTATACGTATTTTAAATAAGGTAACTCCATTATAATCAATGTAATAATATTATTAAAAAAGGTATGTTTCTTTTTTGCGGGTACCATGTATAAAAAATTACTATCTTTAAAAAAACGTTGCCTTGAACAAAAAAATATTCTCACATCTTAAAGTAACCAAATTAAAATTACAGTTGTATTTCCATTTATACTTTTTAGGTATTTTAAATAAAGTGTTTTTCTTATATACGGTTTGGTAAGAAAGAATCATAAATACACGTTGATAATTAAAAATTTAAGTTAAAGGAATGTTGAAATGGTAAGTAACACCAACCGTGTAATTTGGCCAAAAAAATTACATTGTAATTTTAAAAATAAAAATTTTGAAAAAGGAAAATAGAATAAGCCAAAAACTTTTCATAGTTTAAATGCGATCATTTGCAAGGATTTTCGTAATTAGTTTCTTTCAAGTGCACTTTTAAATATGGCCGTTGAAGAAAAAATTTAATTTAGTAATGTAAATATGACCCGTGCAACGCGCGGGTGTGATACTAGTATGATCCACAAAATTACTCTCGCATCTAAACAAATTTTTAACCATATATTTTCTTTTATGAGTATTTTGTGGTGATTAATATTATGTGCCGCAGTCCACACAAAAAAATCGAATGTTATATGTTGGAAAATTTCTTTTCCCTAAATAAATCGGAAGACCTATATAAACATGGATCCGTAGCACATTTTAACATGAAATAGTGACCCATTTTTATAGTTGGACCCGGCCAACCAAAATCACATGTGTTACGCGCTATACCCATATTTGCTTCACGGCCCAAAAGTTGCGTCAAGAAAAAAACACATTAAATAAAACAAAAGTCCATTGATCACACAATTATGAATTACGGAGTATACAATAAAAAGAACAATTTCTTTATACATAAAATTTGAGGGGTAAATTTGATGTATGGTACCTGAACTTTTAGTTGTTTTTCGTTTTGGTACTTAGACTTCATTTTCTTTCACAAAAATACCTGAACTTTAAAAAATCTTTCACAAATGATACCTGGAGCCGGTTTTCAAGTAATCATTAGATCATTTGGGCCAAATTATAATTTTATACTCCCTCCGTCCACAAAAAAACTTCCCACTTTCCTTTTTCGTCCGTCCACAAATAAACTTCCCATTTCCTTTTTTGGAAAGTTTTTAATACTAAAAAGACTTAATTACCCTTCATTCACTCTCTCCCCTTATCTTTTTTTCTCCATTCTCTCTCTCCCTTATCTTTTTTTTTCTTCACCCAACCACACCTTTTTCTTCTTCTCCGTTCTTATCCTCTTTTCTTCACTTCTCTTTCTTTTCTCTTTTCTTCTTCTTCTTCTTCTTCTTCTTCTTCTTTTTTCTTTTCTTTTTCCTCCCCTTCTTAATTTGTTCCGTCACCCAAGATTGGGAGCAGCCGGCAGNCACCGGAAAACCGAGGCGGTGGTCGGAGGTGTGTGGCGGCCAGATCCGGACAGGTCTAATGTAGTATAATCTCCATCACCTCCGCCCATTTAATTTTTCTTTTTTCCCAAAGCTTCCCATATTTGTTCATAGTTCTAACTATAAATTTCCCAGATTTCCCCAATTCCTCAATTTAATTTTATGTGTAAGAAAGTTAATTTTTGTGGTAATAATGGTTGAAGGAGATGTATGAGGGTTCACAGAAGGAAGTGAGGATTGAGGATCGGAAGAGAGTAGGCATAAGGGTAATATGGGAAAGTCAAAGACAATTTCAACTTTTCTTAAAGTGCGTGCCGGGTCAAACGGGAAACTTCTTTTTTGGACGGAGGGAGTATATTTTAAAATCTTTAATTTGATCTCATTTCTTTTTTCTTCTTCCCCCCACTCCCTTCTTTTTCTTCTTCTATCCCCTCTGTTTTTCTTCTTCTTCCTTCTTTCACCCCTTCTTTTCTTTTTCTTCCTTCTTTCCCCATTTTTTCTTCTTCTTCATTAAACCCTCCACTCACAACAACCCACCCCTCCCTACTTGTTTAGCCCACCCCGCTTCTTGAGTATCCTCTTTTTTGTTTAATTTTAACTTCCTCTTTAAGTGTTTTTTTGTTTCAAATTTTTTGATGAATAACTTTTTTTCTTTTTTTTTAATTTTTTTGATATATTTCTTTTTATTTTTTATGTTTTGGTCTGTTTTATTTGTATATATTTTTTGTTTGTTTCTAATTTCTTCTTGATGTTTTAATATTGTTTGTTTGTTTGTTTACGTTTTTTTTACAAACGTTTTTGTTGCCAACAAATGTTAATTTTTTGTTTGTTTTGTTTGTTTTATTTTTTGATTTTTTTGTTTGACTTAATCAATTGTATTTAATCATTTTAATTAAACAAAAAAATCAAAGCACGCATCTTAATTTTTTTTGTCTGTTTATAAATCCTTATTGCAAACAATTAAACAAAAACAAGTGAAAAAAATAAACCCTACATAAATAACTAAAAAACAAAAAAAAGACAACGGAAAATTCTAAAAAACAAAAAAAAGTAAGACATATAGTACCTTTTTTTGTTTTATATTTTTTCAAAAACAAACAAATAAGATCAAAAAAATACGAAAAAAAAGACACTATATGTCTTATTTAGTTTGATCTTTTTGTTAAATTAAGACGTATGGTTTGATCTTTTTATTTACATAAATTTATAAAATATAAAATAACAATGTTATTAACAGAAAAGATAAAAGATAAAGGAGAAAATAACGAAACAGGAAAATAAAGGAAGAAAGAGAGAAAAACAAAAAAGAAAACAGAAAAAAAAGAAAAAAAGTAAGAAATGAGAAAAGAGAAAAAAGGAATAAATAATAAATAAAGATTTCAAAAAACAACTAAAGAAAAAAGTAGCAAACGAAAACAAACATAGAAAAGTAAAAGAGTGAATTTTTTAAAATGTCTTATTTTTTGTTTGTTTATGGTACTATATGCCTTATTTTTTGTTTGTTTTTTTTTTTTAATTTTCTGTTGTCTTATTTTTTGGTTTTTTTGGCATTTTATATATTTATGTAGTGCTTATTTTATTCACGTTTATTGTTTTATTGTTTACAATTAAGATTTAAAATAGACAAAAAAGTTAGCTAACAAAAAAATCAAATTAAACATACAAAAAATTTAAGACGTATAAATCATTTTTTTGTTTAATTAAATTGATTAAATATAAAATAACACAATTATTGACAGAAAAGATAAAAGATAAAGGAAAAAATAATGAAAAACATAAATATAGAAAAAAATAATGAAAAGCAAAATATTAAAAAAACAAAATAAAAGAATTAAATGAGAAAAGGTGGAAAAGGAATAAATAATAAATAAATATTTCAAAATGAAACTAAAGAAAAAAATAGAAAACGGAAAGAAATAGAGAAAATTAAAAGAGTGAAAAAAATTTTAAAAAGGAAAAATAAAAAAACGAGAATAGAATGATAAAAATTAAAAGAAAAAGGAAAAAAATATAAAAAAGTGAGAATGAATAAAAAATAAATAAAGAATTAAAAAAGGATCAAAAGAAAAAAGAAGCAAAAGAAAAGAGGGAAAAAAGTGAATAAGAAAAAAGAGAAGAAAGAAAAAATAAAGAAAAGAGAGGTATAAGAAAAGAGAGAAAGAAAGCGGAATGGGTTGAAAAAGAAAAGAATATAAATTATGAGAGTGTAAGAGAAGAAAAAGAAGAAATGGGGGTCAATCTGAAAAATAAAAATTTGGATTTTGTAATTTGGCCCAAAGTGACTTGCTGGTCACCTGGTAATGGTCAAATAGACTTTTAGTGAAAGAATTATATAAGTTCAGGTATTTTTGTGAAGGTTTTGAAGTTAGGTACCAAATCAAAATTTTATTGAAAGTTCAGGTATCATTCTTAAAATTTACCCAAAATTTGAGAGTTAGCTCTTAGAATTATGACATATGACACGCTTATTAATAGGGCTGTGCATCGGTCCAAACCCGGACCGGACCGGGACCGGACCGGGACCGAATAAGGGCAAACTAATGGACCAGGGACCGGACCGAAAAAGTGTAAGACCGGACCGGGACCAGACCGTAAAAAACTGGACCGGTCCGGACCGGCCCGAATAAGGACCGAATAAGGGGGGAATGGTAGTTTCTTTGGAAAACAATATACTCCATTACTCCAATGCTCCAAATAACATACTTCAATATTCCAAAAAGTCCCATAATCAATAGTCAATACAAACAACCACAAGTTGAGAATTAGGCAGAGTCAGTCTGTAGCTAATGAGCAAAAAGAGAAGGCAAAGAATGATGACCTCTGCTGCAGAGTGCGGACGCCGGACGAAGTGGACGACTGCTGAACCTGCGATTGCCGGAGAACCGGCCTGCTGCGCTGCGTCGGTGCGTGAGTGCGTCTGTACTGTGCGTGTCGGCCGTGTCCTTTGAGTTTTCTTCCGCAATCGGCAGACGGCAGTGGGTAGGGTTGTTATCTTCGGTCGGCGACTGAGTGCGAGTGTGCGACTTGGCGATTTGGTTTTTTCTTTGGCGATTGCGTAAATGGATGAGCTACTGGACTAATGGACTTGGATTATTGGATATTGACATTAGTGGGTATATAAATTAAGCCCTAAAGCCCAAAGCCCGTAACTTAATGATATATCCGGTCCACCGGTCGGTCCACCGGTCTCACCGGGTTTGGACCGGACCGGACCGGAACCCGAATAACAGAAATTTATGGACCGGAGACCGGACCGAATTAGGACCGGTCCGGACCGGTCCGGTTCGGTTTTGGCCGGTCTTCGGGTCGGTCCGGGTTTGGACTGAATAATGCACAGCCCTACTTATTAGAATACTTATGTGATATTATTTGGACAAATAAGCTCATACCTATGAAACACATGTTATAAAAAGTTATTCGACATTAGATGCTTTGTGATTTAAATATAAAAATATATTATTTTTTATTAACTATTAGGATATGTTATTTAATTGAATTATATTATATTATATTATCTAATTGATCAAAATAAAAGTTCATATTTGTTCATGATATACTTAAATGAAGTCAATTATTATTTTATTTATTTAAATATAAAAAAATAAATAAAAAATTCTATGCTGGTATACTTTAATCTCTAAATTAATATTCTATAAAACAAGAGGCTCCTAGATTATTTTTTAAATGATCAACTATTGAAATCAAAAAAACTAAAGGAGAAAAAGTTAAATAAGAATTTTCCAAATGTATTTATAAATTTGCATTCAGAATCATATGATATCTATTGTTTTTTATACTCCATATTATTATTTTTTTTGAATTAATACATTAGAGAAGTATCATTGAAATTTTAATGTTTTGAAATTTATTTTTTTGAATCATTTATTGCTTAATTCAAGATTTAATAGTAAAGCACTAAAGCGAAATGAGACAATTAATGAATAATACTTTTTTAAATAATTCAAACATTCTAACCTGTGTACCATATACATGTATGGGCAGTAAAGAAGACTTCCTAATTTTGAATTTAAAATTATATTTTTACATAAAAGAAGGGATTTAGAGTCATTAATTTTTATGGAATAATCAGTTAAGCATATACTTCTCTGAATGAATTTTAATAATACTATATTTAGGTTAGAAGATTAAATATGGATAAAAGGAGTATTATGGAAGAATTTTGACGCTTCATGAAATTTTACGCAATTGAGTAAAAACTAAAATTCATTTTTGTGACTAACAATTTTTTTAAAATCAAGTTCCATAGAATATATTTATATTGAGAATGTGAGATGATTATTCTCTGTTATAGAATATAAATTACTTATTGTAAGAATATGAATGTTCAATTGGCTTTATTCCAAATGAAACAGATCATGGAGTACTACCTAAATTTGTCATATTCTAAATAGCAAAAATATGTTCAAAAATATGTTTTCCAAATTAAAGTTTCTAAAAAATGTGTGTACCAATACATAAATAAAACATGTGTTATATAATAAAGAAGCATTATTTTTTCATTTGTAACTTTTTTTCCTTTTAATGTATTACCTTTTAGCATGGATACATTTAGCATTTACATTCTTTTTACAAGTTTTCCCACAATTAATCAACTTAAACTAATAATATAAATCAATTTTAAAATATACAAACCAATGTAAATATTATATAAAATTTGAAACCAAAATAACATTACTCTTTAATTTAATTAGAATTTTGAAACAAAAATATAAAAACCAAAAAGAGAAACAAAAAAATATAACCATATAATTGTGGTTACAGAGAAAAAAGTAGAGGTCTTTTTTGGAGAATATCCGAACTTATTGGAGAATATGAATTTTAATAAAACATTAAATATCGTAAGCTGCGATATTAATTACTTGCCCTCTATTTTATTCTAAATCTTTTAAATTTAATAAAACATTAAATATAGTAATTTGTGATATAACTAGCCCTCTTTTTGAATTTGTTACTTAAACTACTCTATTTTAGAGTCATATTGAAAGAAATCATCCTAGACAGGAGGAAAAAAGTATGAAAATACCAAAATATGAGTCCTAAGTCTTTTATGACCAAAAAGTATGAAATTACAGTGTGAACTCTTATTTTTGTCTTAAAAGACTTAAAACTCCTATTTTGGTATTTTCATAGTTTTTTACTCCAATCTAGGAAATATTCCTTCATATTAATGGAAAAAATTGATACCCCTGAAATCTAATTATAAAATGTTCAGATATAATTCAAGGAATGTGTCATTATATCCACCACCCTCACTCAAGTTTAAATACGTACGTGTTCAAAGAAATCAATATTATGATAAAAAAGACAGAATCAATATTTAAACTCTATCTTCCGTTTTTTACGTATTGTTGGTAGGAGCATCCAACTTTTCTATAACAATTGGAAGCATGGAAAATTAACCTGACGAGAGATGGACGATATCGGCTATAGAGATTTAAGAGAAAGGAGAAAATGAATACTTAAACAAAAAATGACATAAAAAAGGTGCATATTTTTAAGATTATTATTTTATTATAACAATTCAACATAGATATGTAAAAATCATAAATATCGTTCATAGGTTTCCTAAAAGAAAAATTAACCTAAATAGGACTAAAATATAATCACTTTCTCAATATAGGGTCATATGTTTTTATTTCCAATGTAGGACTTAAACTTTTTTATTCCCCAAATAGTACTTAATAATGTCTAGTGGGAGGAATAATGTCTAGTTATGGTGAACAATTACCTGAATAATGACTAATGGATTATGTCTTAGTCCTATATATTTAGTGCAAATTTCACTTCCCTAAAATCATGGGAAATTAAATTGTAAAATTGTTGCTTTAGATTTTCATGCATTTGTCCTTTTTATATAGTGTCCTAATTATGCATATGTGTTTAGAAATTTTGTAACAACTAAATCAAACAAAATATTTTTGTGACTATAATTTCTCCATGGTTCTCGAGGCAACAAAGACCATCAATGGGCCGCCTGCAATGTGTACCTATAGAAATAAAAGAGGTATGCAACTTGAAAATACTTTGAATGGTCCAACGGGGATGTACATGCTATCGAAGCTTGAAGACAGTTACCAACAATATAATGTTGCACAAAGCTCATTTGGAAATGCAGGCAAAGCATTGAGGTTATTAATCAGAGATAAAAAAAATTTATTGAAAGGTATAAAAGAGACTACTGAGCTAGTATCTCGGAGTCAGCTAAAAAACTTGTTAGTCACATTATTAGTGACAAATACCGCGAGTCGTCCTTAAGTTATTTGGGAAAAAATCATGGGAGCTCTTGGCTGATGTGATTTTATTTGACTGAAGAAGAATATTACATAATCAATGTATTTCTATAAAATGTAGTTTTTATTATTTATATAAAGATCAATTTGGAATTCATGATAAGTATACCAAACTCTAGAATTGAGATATGGTTGAAATAATTTGGTCGTATTTTAACTATTTTTTTGCAAAATTTATTATTTTCCCAGAAGACCTAATTAAAGAGTTTTTTTTGTTCAGATTGAAAAGTTACTTTATTGAAATAGACAATCCTTAAAAGAGTTTAGTGGTATGTTATTCCAAGATGACAATCCAATTTATAGATTTCAAAATAATTTCTTGGTAGAAGATTTAAACTATGACAAAGAAAAGTTGTCGTTTGATCTTAAACAGTATATATCTACAATGAATGAAGACTAGAGAAAGATTTGCGACGATGAACGCTTTATGTTTTTCTATGACTCTCAACAAAAGTCAAAGTCAAATATTGTCATCTGCTGGATTATTTTTTACTAAGTTGAAGTTCACTCATTATCAACTTTATATTGTTGTTTCACGAGTGAAAATAAAGACATGATTAAAAATATTAGTTCTAAATGATTTAAAAAAGACTTTGAAGTGTTTAATTTTGAATTTATATATAAGAATTTTCATTATCAAATATTAAATGCTAACTTATTTGTTTTACTTTGATTTTAATGTCTACAATGGTAAAAACGCATTACATATATTTTCATAAACTCTTTTAAAATATTACATTGAAGATAATTTTCAAAATTGATAAAAATTATATTCAACCCGTGCGTGGCACCGATAAAATACTAGTTACGGAGTACAATAAAAGAGAGTAATAAAAGAGACAAAAAGCAAGTCGGTTGGATGAGTTGCGGCGTCCCACACCCACACGGTGCATCCAACTCGTTTTTATTTTTGTGTATAGGCTAAACTTCACCATTGGTCCTTCAACTTTATCAATTATGCACGATTGGTCTTTCAAGTTTTAAAAGTCCATAAATAGTCCTTCAACTTTATGAGGTAAGCACGATTGGTCCTTCAAGTTTTAAAAGTGCATAAGTAGTCCTTCAAGTACACATTAGCCCTCCATATGAAGTCCTTTTGACAATAAAGATTAAAAACTAAATGGAATACTAGATCCATATAATACGGAGTAGTCGTACCTAGTGGAATTTACTCGTATTATATGAAACTAGTATTGCGTTTAACTTTTAATATTTACTGTCAAAAGGACTTTATCTGGAGGAATGATGTGTATTTGAAGAACTATTTATGGATTTTTGAAACTTGAAGGACCAATACTGCAGAATTCATAAAGTTGAAGGACTATTTATGAACTTTTGAAACTTGAAGGACCAATCGTGCACAACTGATAAAGTTGAAGGACCAATGATGGATTTTAGTCTTGTGTATACGAGTGGGACTTCCATTTATAACATGAAACATCAATAACTACGGAGTCCACACCAGACTTTGACCACATTATTATTATTATTATTATTATTAATGGTCGGCAGCATCCTCGAAATCAAACAGACCTTATCTCAATATATATATAAATCCCAAAAAACCCACACGTTTGTTCCTATCACAAGACAAAAACCACCCATAGGAACTGAACAAACAAACCGTAACACCTGAAAAACAAAAACCTCAAAGTAGTAGACTTGACGAGCATGGCTTGGTCCGAACCCGAATCAGCGATCTGCAAGCACCACCCGACCCACAAACAGCCGCCGGGCGTCTGTTCCTGTTGCCTCCGTGAACGGCTCGCCAAGATTTCCGGCGCCGCCTCGTCGAACAGCTACTGCGACTACACCTCCGCGTCGTCGTCTTGCTCGTCCGGCCGCGTTTCTCCCCGCGGTCACCGCCGGATATCCTCCGACGTGGCGGAGGGCCGATTCTCAGGGAGTGGCGGATGCGAGGGTGGGTTGAGGAAGAGCAGATCGATTGCTTTTGCGGCGGACAGAAGACCCGGCGGCGGCGAGAAGAGGAGGGAAGGGTTTTGGTCAAAGCTGATTAAGTCGGCGGGTAAAAGAACCAAGAAGGTTTTATTGCATTAGGGATACAGTCTACAATATACTTAAATTCGTACCATGATTGTATTTACTTACGGTATTTAATTTAATTACACAGAGTATTTCAATAAATATTGAATTGAATCAGTATAGTGTTCCCTTAAATTTTACGCACTGCATATAGAGTCTTTCTAAATAATATTTCCTCCGTCCCATAAAGTGTTACCCATTTTGACTAAAGTTGAAATTAAGAGAGGGATAAATTTGTGTTGACTTTCCAAAAATACCCTTGATGTGATGGGTAAAAGTAGGATGTGATGTGTAGATTATTAGAAAAAAGGTATGAAGTGATAGGTAAGGTTTGAAAAAGTAAGGGGTAAAAGTGGTTTTTTAATAGAAATGGATAAGTGATTATGGGACGCAATTTTTTTGAAACGTGTAAATCTTTTTGGGACGGAGGGAGTAAGATTTGGAGTGGGTGGTTCAACATATTAATGAGGTTTTGGATGTTTAACTTGATAAGAGTTTTGTTTTTTTTTTTTTTTTTGCGCATTATCAAATCCACGCAACATTTTTAAAGTTTAGGGACTATTGTTATAATTTTTAAAGTCCACTTGAAATTAAATTTGCCTAAATTTTGAAGTTTTGAGAAACAAATGGTGCAAAGGTAGGAAGTAGACAAGTCGCCTGGGTTACCTAGCTAACGGAATAACAAGCTAATTTGATGTAGATAATTTTTACAGAGCATTTAAGAATACAGCGTAATAAATTTTCGAAGTACTGTATTTATACTTCCCCGTCCAAAAAACGGAATACTGCATAATACTCCGTACATTTTCATTGCATTTATCAGTTACAAATTCAGATCAAACCGATTCAATAATTAATACTCAGTCCGTTTTGTTAAAAGTATTCATTTTTCATTTCTAAAAAACACTTTCATTTTCGCCTTGCCTTGCCATCTCACCATAATCCACCAAAAGCATGGCATTCCACCCTAGCAAATTAGCAATCCTCCCCTCATTCTATTCCATGTGCGAGGCATGGCTACATCTTTTTTTTTTTTTTATTTTTTATTTCTTTTGGAAAATAAGAATATTTTTTATTAAAGAAGTAGACATATTTTAATGATAAAATAAATATGTAAAATAAAATTTAATAATTAAAATACATTAAAAAGGTGTAAGAAGTGATAAAAACAATGATTTGACACGGCAGGCATGTATTTCACTGACTTGACACATGCTAACTGGATTATTATTAATAGGTTGAGATTTTTCATGTCACTGTGTGATATTCTATTTTAACCATGCCAATGCTGATGCTCTAAAAACAATTTTTACCTCTATTTTTTTTCTTACCATATATATCATATCATATTTTTTCAATTCACTAATAATAATATATTCATCACATTTTACTTTTACCATCACATCAAGGACAAAATTGAAAAGTCAACTCCAAATAACCTTTCCTTATTTTTTTCCAAAGTCTAAACAGGAATAATTTATGAAAACGGAGAGAGTACTTCCCCGTTCAGAAAAATAAGGCTAAACCAAAGTTTAAAAAACTGGATCGGGCCGGCCCGTTCAATCTGCGAATCGGTGGTCTAATCAGTCTGGTCTGGACTGCAATACGCTTCAAAGTTCAGACCAGTTAGAACCGGTGTGAACCGGCCGGTCGAACAAGTTTTTTTCTTTTTGCCAATTTTGTTCAAGAAATACACTACTAGGATTTGATCGAACACAAAATCTCTTAGGCATTTGGTTAAGTCATTGAGCAACGAGCTAGAGTACCTTTTGTTCTCTACTTGATTATAGTTTTTTATATTCATAATTAAAAAACTACCTCTCCGTCCGGAAATAATCTTTCCATTCTACGTTTTTTCGTTCGGAAATAAACTTTCCATTCTACCTTTTCATACTCACTTTTCCTAAAATACCCTTCTTTTCCTACTTTCTTTCTTCCTCTTTTTTTTTCCTTCTTTCTCCCCTCTTCTCTCGGCAGATCTAGCCACTCCCTTCCCCTTCTTTTTATTCTTTCTCTCCTGCCGGTTCTTTCTCTCTTCCCCCTTCCCCCTTCTATTTTTTCTCCCGATTTTCTTCTTCTTCTCCTTTTCCTTCTCTCCCTTTCTTTTCTCAGCAAAATTATGCAATCATCTTCTCTCACTCTCCCCCCTCTTTTTCTTCTTTTTCTTCTTTCTCCCCATTTCTTTCTCGGCCATCATCTTCTCTCTCCCTTTCTCCCTTCTTTTTCTTATTCTTCTTCTTCCAATCCCGATCAGATCTACATGTGGGGATTTCATCTATTCGTAGATCTACGGTTGAGGGAGGCTTTTGATTTACAATTACAGGTACGGCGGGGCTAGGGCGGTGGTTGTGGTGGTGGTGGGGGGTTGGGCGACGATTGGGGTGGTGGGGACTGGGGTTGGGGTGGCTGTGGTGTTGAGGGTGGCAGGGGTATTTTGGTGTGGGGGTTGGGGTTGGGGTGGCAAGGGTATTTTGGGCAATGCAACCCATTAGTCAACTCACACTAAAAATGAAGAATAGTCAAATTAGGAAGTTTAATTCCGTACGGAGGGAGTAATAATGGTAAAAAGATTTCTTTTTTGTTTTTTAAAATCTATTAAAAAAAATATAATATTATAGCTATGATTCAAACTCAAAATGATATAATTGATACAATTACAAAATATATATCAGGTAAATATAAAATTGAGTATTTTATAATATTGAACAACTTATTTGAAAAAAAATGAGTAAATTCCATAATTGGTCCTTTATAATAGGGGGGTTTCCATATTTAGTCCTATATTATCAAATATTACCCTCGTAGTCCTTTTTTTAAGGGTACCTTTCCACAAATGGTCCTTTTTTTGATCTTCAGTCGTGTTGATGTTAATTTAAAGGCTAAAAGTATAATTTGATATCAACATTATGTTTAGTGACGTGTTCTGATATTGGTTAAGAGGATAACACAAAAAGAATGACTATGGTTGTGGGCTAGGATTCTGACGAAAGACCACATTTGTAGATTATGGTTGTAGTAGAAAGTGACTATAATTTACAAACGACGCAAACGGAACAGCCGTTGAAATTGTGCATGACAAAAAAGATATATTATCATAGTGAAATTACACTTTTAGCTCTCAAATTAACAGCAACAGGATTGAAGATTAAAAAAAGGACTATTTGTGGAAAGATACCCATAAAAGAAGGACCACTTGGATAATATTTGATAATAGAGGACTAATTAGAGAAACCTCCCTGTTATAAAGGACCAATTATAGAATTTACTCAAAAAAATCAACTCTCCTTTAATAAAATTCTTAATGTTGTTTTTATATATAAAAAACTTTATTTTTTAACTTAGTAACATAACTCAAGTAAATAAATTTAATTTTGGTCAAACGTCATAAATTGTTTACTCTGAGTATTTATAAATGAGAGAGTAATTTTTATTAGTTATATATGGAGTACTTTGTATAACTTTTCATACAACCAATTGGCGCTTGTGCTAACCTCTCATATTTTTTTAGGCACCTCCCAATATGGGTTGAGCACTTTAACTTTGGTTCTACTATATGAGAATACTCTAGATAAGATTTAAAAAGTGTGAGAATATGAAAATAAGAGTCAATTTAAGTCATTTAAAATAATACCAAAATACGAATTCACACCATCATTCTTAGATTGTCACATTCACCACATTGTCATACTTTCATTATCAAACTATTAAATGACAGGTTAAATTCCTTTTTGGTCTCAAAAAACTTAATTCCTATTTTTGTGTTTTGCATAGTTTCTTAATCTTATATAGGGAGTTCTATGTTTAAAAAAAAGTTGGGCATGAGTTTGCAAATGACATGTGGACAGGTGTAAATTTGTAATTAAGTTTGTTTTAAATTAGAAGAATTTAGTCCAATCAAATTTTTTTGAGTTTTCAAACAAGTAATCAGGGTCGGGCCTGAAGGAGGTCAGGGTGGGCGACGGCCTCAACCCCCTAAGTTTAAGAGGCCCAAATAGTTTAAGCGTAGTGTTATGAGTAGCTTAGAAATATATTTTTTTTGTCCAAAAATATTTTTTACTCATACTTCTTCATATTTGAAGATCGAATACTGTTGTACTCTACAAGCGAAGATTACTACTAATACTATATTGACACATTTGAATGTCAAGTTCTTGAAAGAATTGTTTAATAGAGTCACTTAAGGTACTTTAATCCTTTTTTATATACTCTCTTCGGTCCTAAAAACAAGGAAATTATTGATTTTTAAGATATTTAATGGAAGTGTATTTTGGTATTGAATTTTCAAAAAGTCCTTTGATGTGATGGGTAAAAGTAGGACTTGAAAGGTAGATTATTAGTAAAAAGGTATGATGTGATAGGTAGGGTATGAAAAAATAAGGGGTAAAAGTAACTTTTTAATAGAAATAAAAAGTGTTTTTTGTGACAGATGAAAAAAGAAAAGAGAATGGTTTTCAGGGACGGAGAGAGTATATTTTTTCTTTGAGTAAATTCCATAATTGATCCTTTATAACATGGGGGTTTCCCTATTTAGTCTTCTATTGTCAAATATTACCCCAGTGGTTCTTCTTTTATGGGTATCTTTCCACAAATAGTCCTTTTTTGATCTTCAATTATGTTGGTGTTAATTTGAGGGCTAAAAGTATAATTTCACAATGATAATATATTTTTTTGTCATACAATTGCTTTCTACTACAACCATAGTCTACAAATTTGCATCGTTTGTGAATTACAATCGCTTTCTACTACAATCATAGTCTACAAATGTGGTCTTTCGTCGAAATTCTAGTCCACAATCATAGTCATTATTTTTGTATTATCCGCTTAACCAATATCAGAACACATCACTAGACATAATTTTGATGTCAAATTATACTTTTAGCCTTTAAATTAACACCAATATGACAGAAGATCAAAAAAGGTCCATTTGTGGAAAGGCGCCCTTAAAAAAAGGACTACAGAGGTAATATTTTATAATAGATGACAAAATATGGAAACCCCCTGTTATATACAAACCATTTATTATTATATGTACAGGCCCGTCCAATCATTTTAGAAGGCCCTGTACAAATGAGTAACTTAAGAACTTGAGATAAAAAGAAACAATTCGACGAAAAAATTGAATCATTTAAGATGCAAAAATCACCTATTAAATCAATTTAACACACTTAGATAAGTATTCAAACAATGCTAAATTAAAATATTGGTGCAAAAAAACACAATTGAGATATTTTGATTTGTCTTTAAGTTCAAAACTATTTACAAATTAGAAATACTATAGTGACAAACAAAGAATCTACAAAAATCCTAAACTTAGTATATTATTAAGATCTCACTAGTCAATATAAATAAGATGCACTCAAATAATTAAACATATATAAAATTAAAATCACAAAAATCACATTTAATAATTTTGTGAACTCTTTGTTTGTAACTAGCATTTCTTTTTACAAATGAAATTGTAATGTCTACAAAGTAAAAGCTGAAAAAAGGCAACAAAAAATTGTTTTTAAAGCATAAAAAATATAGTTCCGAATAAATACCGAGTTATCTAAAACTGAAATTGTAATTTCTTATTTTTTTCTTTGTTCATTCCAGGGAAAACATATTCTTTCAAAAATCAATTTTTAGAACACTAAAAAAATGAAACACATCAAAATAGGTTAAAAAGAGTTGCAATGAAAATCAATTAGGGTAATCAATGGTTGATCAATAACAATAAAAAGAATAAAAATCTATAAGTATAAGTCATGCGATTGAGCCTTGAGGAGTGCCTTTGACAAAAAATAAATTGAATTAGAAAAAAAAAACAAAAGCATAAAAATCAAGAACTCGCCACTCCAGAGGAGAAGGAATTGAGGAGTCACACTAAATGTTCGGATACAAAGCAATAGAGATGTGCAAATGAGCACGACATATTAAAGGAATGGATGAGGCGGAATGGATGAGGCGGAATACGGAATAGTCCTTTGTTATTAATTATTGGGCTTAAGTAACAGAATAAATCTAGTATTGAGCTAAAGATAAAATTAAAAATGGGCCCTTATATTTGGGAGGCCCTTTGCAAGTGAACCTAATGCACTTGGCCTGGTATGCATTCATTCAAATATTAAATAATGGTTAAATGGCAACATTGGAGGTGCTCTAATAACTTTATTTTAATGTAATATATGCACATACATACTTTCTCAACATATTCAAGCACGAAAAGAGTTATTTGTCATATTAAGAATCAAACATATGACCTCTATCCGGAAGAGCCAAAGTGATGTCGTTGCACCACGAGATTTTTGGAAACAATCACATATTCATTTTCTAAAAACAAAAAAGAAACTTTATTTTAGGACATCCATCTATGGAAGGATTTTGTAAACCACACTTTGAAACGAAAAGAGCATTAAATTTGTTTCAAGATGAAAGCTAGACAATGATAAGGAGGAGTATTAATTGATTGATTACTCTGTAATTATCACGAGAACAAAGACTGATATAGCGTTTCATCAGACATAATAAGCTGCGGGTCAATGATTTCCATCTCCCACTGCAGAACTTCCCATTGTATTCTTCTCCATAATTTTCTGGCAATTTTGAATGGCCTTATTACTGCGCCAGATCTCCTTGAGCTGCTAATAACCTTCTTTAACGCCAACCAAACAGCACCCAAAACCAATCCCCAAAATGTAACCCAGCATTTAACGCAGAGTGCAATCCATTTTGCGTATCTACAAAATCTCACCATACCCACTTTCACTTTATTTGCTGATATCTAATTACTTCTGATGATTTGTTTTGCCTATAAATAGTAGTGAATATTTGGGCATGCTATCGTGACTTTTGCTGTTTAAGTGTGCTTTGAAAGGAAAGGAAGGTCACGTGAAAGGAATGTCTCTAGCTTAGGCGTATTCTCTCCTTGCCCAATTACAAAATTATTGAGGGCATTTAACAAAATTAGTTTAATAGTGTGTTTGGAAACTTGAATTTGGATTTTAAATATATAGATTTGATATAAATTACTTGCAGACCCGTTACTAAAAGTTCTCAGGCTCGGGACGAAGAAAAAATTAAGGTTTACCAAGAATTACTAGTTGAAAGTTAAAATATTTTTTTATTAAAATTGAATGCAATAAATATCCGGCTTGATGCATACTGATATTTAAACTAATGTGAATGATATATTGGATAGAGAGACGATGTAAAATGTTTAAACCTTTAAACACTATCTATAGTGACAAATGGTCTCATCCTAAAAAAAAAATTATAAACTCTTTTTTTTTTCTTTTCAACAAGCAAAGAAAGGTGTTGACATAAAAAAAGTACACATTTGATTTTATTTTTCAAATGCACATCCAACATTTATCTGATTTCGTATATAAAGTTATAATAATATTTATATTACAATAAATAAATAATAAAATAAAATAATCATTGATTTTAATGTTATTGAATTTATATTTATACTGAATTCTTTTAAGTTTTTACTATCTTCTCTAACTTACTTCTTTTAAATAGAATGCAATAATTTAGTATTTTTTGTAATTTCTATGCAATGTGTCTATTATGTTATAATAAAAAACATTATATTATTTTATAATATAATGTGGAGTATGAGTTATTTAAATTAATGAATAAAATAAAGAAAAAGTGAGACTCATTAATAATTGAATGAATGGATAGATAGATGGATGAGATGAGTTGTGAATATTTGCTTAGAAAATAAGGTACTTAAAGATAGATGATGTAGAGATGACGTGGATTAGAGAGCTGAGAACAATTAGATGAATGATTTTTTTGTATCAAGGAACAAAGATGCTCTTAGTTCTCAAATATAAAATATCAAATATAAAATATGTGACTCTTTAAAATTTCTTTTTTAATAAAACTTCCAAGAAACTTTTTTACTTTTTACCACATTGAAAACTTTTAAAAACTCTTTAGAATGCATAAAAAATTTGAGTTTCTAAATGATACAATTTGATAATTATCGTTCTTATTGAATAATGAAAGATACATCTCTATAAATAAGAATTACAAGAGAGTATTCTTATCCAAATAGGGAAAAAATTATAGCAACGATAAATAAGAAAATAAGAGAATAGGAAGGTAAGTAATAACAATATTCTATTTTCTATTATCCCCCCGCAAGCCGATCAACAGAGATGAGGGATACTGTGGAGTATAAGTACTGGAACGGAGATGGAAGAAGCGGCTTCGTGAGAATATTTGCTAACTGCTCAAAAGGTGAAACATGATGCAGAGTCATGGTATCGGCGATAACTTAAAATTGTTGTTAGCCACACATATAAGTGCGACATTTTACCACACTTAAAATTGTTGTTAGCCACACATATATGTGCGGTGGAGAATATTAATAATTCCAAGGAATATTTATTTCATATTAGAAGCACTACAACAAATTTCATTCACTATCTAAAGCTAAATACTAGGAGAAGTTAACAATTGTACGTTGTATTCCTGAAACAGAATTCTGTAAGAACAAAGGGGGTGGTTCCCATGAAACCGGAGGTCCTACGGAGTCCTATTCGTAAAATTGACAATTTCTACCCTTCTTAACCTCCGAGAAACCCTAATATCTTGCCCCGATGCACCTCATCCCCTTCAATTGCACTCTCCAAGTTTATTTAATTTTGGAGTCAAAATTTTGACTCCCAAGTCAAATAAACTTAAAAGGTGCAATTGAAGGGGGTGGGGTGTATTCGAATCAAGGTGGGGTGAGGGTGGGGGGGGGGAGGTTGCATGGAAATTAAGGGAGTAGAAAGTATCAATTTGTCGAACGAAGGATCGGAGGTGACCGGGTCATGCTATGACATTACGAGGTAATGAATAAATAACCAGTATGGAAAAGGGTAGTGATAGCCACACCTGTTAAAACATTAAATACACGACGTCAACTAAATATTCCTCATGTTGTATAATTATGTTATTATTATTTAAAAATAATAATATAGAATTTAATTTGTTAATTTTAAATAAACATTATAATTTATTTTCAGTATTATCCACGGTTTATTTTATTTTGTTACTTTTTAAAAAAAATTATATGAGTTTTAAAAAAGTTTTACTACGTAAAATTTTTTAAGCTTTTATTTTAATAGTTCATTGATTAAAATAATTTTCATTATTCTTAAATTCGATAACCAATAATTTTGTATAAACGTATCGTTTCTAAGTAATACCAATATGTATTTCTTTATTCTAACATTTTAATCTACACAAATAGTTTTTTCGAAAGAAGGTTATGTAAGTTTTATTATATTTTTTTTTTAAAAAAATATAAAGCCTTATATAAAGTTTAAAACTACAAATCATTTTTTTGGTTTATTACTTTTCAATAAACAAAGTTTTATTTAAAATTTATACTATAATTCTATCAATATTGTAGAGAGTAAAAAAAATCTAGAATATACTCCGCATAAGAATTTTTGTGAAGCATAAAATTAAAAATAATATAGAAAATAGCAAGGTGAAATTAATATTTAAAAATAGTTTGGAAAATGGCAAGGTGAAATTAATGTTTGGGATAAATTTAGGGATAATGCTATATGTACCCCAAGAATTTGTACTACATTTTGTACACCGCAGGAATGCACCTACATTTTGTGTTGATGTAATGTTAATTTTTGTTAACGCACCAACATTTCGTGCAGTGTAAATTTTAGTTAACGCATTAACACTTTGTGCTAGTATGAACCATCAAAATGTTGGTGCATACCTTTAGTGTATATATGAGGTACAAATTTTGGTGTAAGTGTAACATGCTCATAAATTTAGGGACCATGCTACATTTACACCAAAAAATGTACACCATTTGTACACCACACTTATGCACAAACATTTTGACGGTTTACACCGACACAAGTGTTGGTGCGTTAACAAAAATTTACACGGACACAAAGTGTTGGTGAGTTAACAAAAATTAGTTTTACACCAACACAAAATGTTGGTGCAAACTTGTGGGGACAAATTGGGGTATAAGTGTTGGAGTACACATAGCTTTGTTTTGGTGGGGGCTTGGGGCTAAACATTACTTCCTCCGTTCGAAAATATTCTTTCCATTTGACTTTTCACGGTCTCTAAAATGGGAGAAGAACCAAACTAGGAGTAAAACGTATGTCATATCCTCAAAATAGGAGTTCAAACTTAAACTCCTCTAAATAGTAGTAATTAACTTAATTAATAAAACAAAAAAATGCTCCCCACACGCGCTGCATTTGCAGCCAATAGATCCACAAATGCAAATAGATCACCACTTTTAAGTTTTACCCCCTTAGCTTAGCAATAGATCCGCTAGTGGCGACCAAGTCCAAAACTAAAAAAAAATTGGCAAACTTCACAATAGCATTCTGCCGACAGCGACGCACCCTACCGCAATTATCGTCGACGGGGATGCCCACTGCCTCCATCATCGCCGCCGCATTCCTACCACTATCACTTGAATCTCCACCGCCGTCGTCCTCTACTCTGCCCCACCGCACCGCTGCAATCGAAACCTACCATTGGCACCTTTAATTTTTCATCATCACCAACAATGTCATCACCGCTCTATACCATTATCAACGACGCTACCATCACAATCTGCACCATCGTTTCACAATGCCACATTAACAATCAATACAGTGTAAAAGAACGACATAATGTCAAATATGGCACCATATAATGTCACATATGACAATATATAATATCATAGATGCCCATATATAATGCCACATATGCTTATATATAATGTCACAATGTTACACAATGACATAATGTCAAACCAAATCCAATGCCCTTCACGATCGCTAGCGAGAATTTTGAAAAAAATAGAATTCAATTAAAGATCGAGAGAGAAAATGCTCACTTTTTAAATCATGGAGGTGGGCGGCGTGACACGAGTGCGGCAATGAATTTGAGAGGGATGGGTGAATGGCGGCAGCATCGACGATGCTATAATTTGGCGGCGGTGGCGGTGATGAAGCTGTGATTGGTTGGCGATGGTGAATAAAATTGATTGGAGAAGAAGAGGGTTGGCTTTGAGCGAAGTCGAATGCGATTAGGACTCTGATTTTGGGGAAGAACTAATCAAGAAAAAAATAGGAGTGATTCGACCCTACCAGGCTGAAATTTTCAAGTGTAACCCATACAGAATCCATTCAAAGTGGACTTTGGAAGAGCAATTTGCTGATCGGCTTCATAGGAAGAGGCTGGACCTGGACGTCTAAGCATGGTTCTGACTATTAATGGATATCAAATTTTATATTTTAATAATTTAAGTTTGAAGTATTATTCTGGGATATGATACATGTTTTACTCTTATTTAGGAAGTTTTTTTCTCTAAAATTACATTTTGACCACTAATATATTTATTTATATACAAATATGTTTTATAAAAATTTGATTGAAAACTATGTTTCAATAGGAATATATTTATATTAAAATTATATCATAATACAATATCGGAATCAAAATTTACAAATTTTTATTGTAAGTGGGAAGACATACTAGGGAGTATTCCGTAACGAAACAATATCCACTCTCCGTAGTGTTTTCTCCCTTTTCCTCTTTCGTCCGCTCCTTGTGTGTTGCCGCCGGAGCTGTTCTCCTTCTACTAAGGTTTCCGATTCAGTTGTCACCGTTCTTATCCATCAGGTACCTTAGTTTCGACGATTTTATATCCATGCCTAATCTTAAAAACTTTCATTTTCACCTTTAATAGTGCTCAAATCCCTTCCGAAAATTATTGAATCTGAAGTATTCTTGTCAACGGGTAGGGTATTTATAGGCCGGATCCAGACCCGTTTAGCGAGATGGGTACCGGACCCGTCGGCCGTCGGGTCCATTGTAAATTGCTCCATACCCATGACGGTCTTTAATTAATACGGAGTAATATAAACACACCAGGAATTTAACCATAAACTGTTGCAAATTTAATACTTGAAATCTGTTAAAATTTGTGCTCCCAAATATGTCAAATTTATGAACAAAAGTTAATTCAAAATTTACTAAGCACAAAATCATCTCTGATGCAAAACAGGAGGCGGCATAATGGCTAAATGGCGTGTATATTGCTATGATTTGTATTTGTATAGAATATAGATACAATATCTAACATATAATGTAATTAGTTTCGAACAAACAAAAATAAGATAATGGACAACTAAATTCTGAAAAAAAAAACAAAAAAAAAGATAATTCTCACATGTTTTGGGGTAACCCCGAACAGACCAAAAACGCATTCATTACATCCTTGAGAGTGAAATTTTTGCATCCTCACATGTTTTGCTACACCGTTCGATTGAGGTGTGTGTGCTAATATTACATGGTGCACAATACCATGTTGTGCACACAACTCTCCACAAAGAGTTTCATGCTCCCTCTATCAATCCTAATTGGTCTAATTTTGTGATTAAGTTGATTTTCAACTTAGTTCTTTTAAAGAGTGAATTTGTCCAATACCTCATTTTTACTTTTTGCTAAATAAGTATACCATTATTTCGTGATATCATCATCGAACGTGATAACATAGAGTATGTTATCACATCTTGAGAGCGTTATTCTGAAGTCACTTAAGTTAGTGTGAATCAAATATAGTGGTGTAGTGGTTCTTCAATCGTTTGGAACAAGCTTCAAGTTGACTTTGCTTCGATACACATCTCAAATAAGCAACAAGACTTTTATTAGCTTTCTCAACAACAGTCGACACATTAAGCTTAAAAATCCCATGAGACACATACCCTTACATATGAATGCACCTTGCTTTGTTATATCTAAGTTCAGGGTTTTATAGTTACAATCTCTTTATTTGCAGGGAAGGGGAGATAATCGATTGTCCTAAGTGGATAATCGATTGTTGAGGGCTTCAGGTTCTTGGGCAATTTCGGGGAATGTTCTGAGAAGAGAGATAATCGATTATCGAAGTAATGTTAATCGATTATTGGAAGTTGCAGGATTCAGGGGAAGCCTGATAATCGATTATCTAAAAGTGATAATCGACTATTGAGGGCTGCAGGTGTTTCACGAAAGATGGATACTCGACTATTTAAAGTGATAGTCGATTACTTGGCGGCGCAGGACAGGAAAAGAAGTATTTTTTGAGAAGAGGAACAAGCCAAGTTGGTGTTAAGGGATATCACACACCCTTATCTTAACTTGGGGTTGAGTCTAGCATTCAAATAAGATATCACACACTTATTCAAATAACTAGAACCTAAAACTCACACTCAAGAGAACCACTCTTAAGATATAGGATTAGGAATTTGGAATGAAACACACAAGTGGATCACTTTGATTAAAATTGGAATACAATGTGTTTCTACACCCAGGCCTATTGCTGAATATATAGGATTACATTGGAGGGAATAAGGGAAAATACAACTCACTCAAAATAATGCCCATGTGGAATGAAATCAGGGATATGGGTTGTTTGGTGGGGTTTTGGGCTGTTCCTGAGTTGCAGGAAATGTTGGGGGAAGGAGGGATGAATGTGGGGAGGGCTGAGGTTGAGGGCCAAGGATTGGGGGTAAGAAGAAGTGGTACATTTGGCTGGGTATTTGTGGAGGTTTTGGGGGAATTTGAATTTGGTCAGGGTTAGGAGACAAAGGGGTGTGTGTGGGGTGTGTCATTTGGAGTTTTGTTGTTGGTTTGTTGTGGGGATTGGATGTATTATTGCAAAAGGAAAATATCCCTGGGCATTTTGGGTTATAATTTGAGTGTAGTGGGGAACATAATGGGGACCATGCTGGGTGTGTTTTTGGACACTTATTTTCGGCATTGTAAAATAAGAGGAAAGGGAAATTGTGGCTTGGTTTTCTTTGGATTCCTGGGAATGGATTGTG